GCAGTGAGGGGGCCGGTGTACACACCGGGAGATCGAGTCTGGCTCTCGACCAGAAACCTGCCCCTCCGCCTGCCCTGCCGGAAGCTGGGGTCGGTGGTTTGTGGGGCCTTTTAAAGTCCTGAGGAGATTGAACGAGGTGTGTTACAGGTTACAACTGCCAATTTATTCAAAAATTTAAAACCCCCCTTCCATGTTCTCTCCTCAGGCCCGGGGGAGCGGTACACTCCAGGCTATGATAGAAAAGGCTCCTCCGCCCCCCCCGGACTCGGGGGCTCCGGCTCACTTTTCGGGCCATCCCGGGGTTTGGCCCGGGTGGGGGGTTTTCCCAAAATTTTCTGGATGGGGGGGGTCGGCCCGGGGGAGCGTGCTGGGTGCCGAGGAGGGGCATCCTAACCCGTCTCTTTTGACCGATTCCTCGTGGGCACCCCCGCACCCTGCTCCGCGTCTTCCCGGTCGTCCCCCGGGGCCCGGGGTCGCCCACGGGTGGAGCCGCGCTCAAGGGGGGGTACGTCCCGGTTTCGGCCCGGGGTGCCCTTCTCCTTGTTTGGGCAGGGTTCCGGTCGTCGTTTCCCAGTACTAGTGCCACCGCTCTTGTTTCTGTTGTTTGGTTTTTTCTGTTTTGTTACCCGTTCCTTGTTATTTAATTATCGTCTATAAATTCTCTTGGGTTTTTTTTCAGTGTTGGTGGATTTTTCGGGTCATGTTTGGGGTGCGTTTTGTTTTTTTCTCTCTGTATTTTTTTGAAAGAGTTCCGCACTGTGTGCCTTTTTTTTGTACTTTACCGGTGGCGTAAAGTTTCCCCTTGCCTCCGGTTGTATTTAGCCGTGTTGGCTTGTTCTTTTTGTCTTCACTAAAAATTTTGTAGAAGCCTCTTGTGTCCTGCGCTTGTTCCACACCACACTACACTCAACCTTGACAAAAACAGACAAAACGAAAAACATTTACAATCTAAAAGTTTTTGTTCAAAAGACTCTCATACTTAAGCTTCAAATTAGCTAAATTGTTGTAACAAGAGCAGATAAAAATTTTAACCTAATTCTTTAATTTCCCTATAAATAGCAGCCGTTTTTCATAAACTGTTTTGATCCCATAAAATTTTCTGGAATGGGCCGTACGGGTTTTAACTGGGTCCCCCCCTCCCCTCTGCAACCATACGTCCTCCATCAGAGACACTGACCCCGCTGGTGTGTAGGAGTACCAGAGGGTTTAGGGTTACTGGTGTAGGTCTGGTCTGTGTCTGTACCAGTAAAACTTCCACCCCATAAGACTCTACTGTACAGGTCAGTGTCACACTGTCTCCTGTGAATACGTTTCGCTTGATCTAAACTCAGTGTAGCCGTCGGATGACTATCTGTTGGAATCAAGGAATGTGTGTGATGCATCTGAAAACATGGATCTGATCTGCTGCATGATATGTCCTCTTGATGGATAACTGATCAAAATTCACTGAGGCAGAAAATATTATAGACCCACAGAACATGTCTAATTTATTGACTCAACACAACAGTGTCTATCTATCTGTATGTCCAGAGAGGAACAGAACAAAGTTATGTACCTTTTACAGTGAGTGTAATAGTATTACTTGGTAGTGAAGATGTATGTCACGGTTTTCGGCCGAGGCTGCCTCTCTCCCTTGTTCGGGCAGGTTTCGGCGTTCGTCGTCTCCGGAATTCTAGCTGCACCGCTGTTTGTTTCTTGTTCGTTTGCTTTGGTCTGTTTTGTTTTCACACCTGTTTCTGTTTGGCGTAATTAGTGTCCTATAAGTTTCTCGTTGTGTTTGTCTAGTGTTGTGTGTAATTGATTTTCCGTCAGTTGTGTGTATTGCTCGGTTGAGCTTCTCTCCATTATACTGGAGTATTTCCGCACCTGTTTGTGCGTGGTTACTATTTTGTCGCACCTGTTTGTGCGCGGTTACTATTTTGTCGCACCTGTTTTGTGCGCAGTTTCTTTTCGCCTTCGTGCGTAATTGTTGCCTCCGGGCAAAGTTTCCATTTGCCTTGGTTTGGCCTAAAATACAAGCCTTTGGGAATATCGTTCTGAGTCCTGCGTTTGATTCCACCATTACACCTACCGCCACGCCTGACAGAATTACACACCTTACAATGGAATCAGCAAGAGCCGAAGCAGCTCAGACGAGACTGGAGGCCCAGGTTCGGGACCAACGAGAGCAGATCCAACAGATGGGGACCGCCCTGCAGGAGGTGATTTCCACCATCCGAGGCTGGGGTACGCCTCCACCACCTCCCTCTCTGCCAGCACCATCGGCCAGCCCGCTCATTCCAGCGCCGGAACCTCGAGGAGTCCGACTATCTCTCCCGAGGGCCTACGACGGGACCACGGCTGGTGTCAGGGATTTCTACTCCAGGTGGAGCTATACCTGGCCACAGTGCACCCGGCACCTTCGGGGCATGAGAGCGTGTCCGCCCTGATCTCCTGCCTGGCCGGTAAAGTGGAGGAAGATCGACGCCACGACGGTTACATACGACGAGTTCTCCCGCCGCTTCAGGGCGGTTGTTTGACATCCCCCGGAGGGGAAAGCGGCGGGGGAGCGTCTGGTCTTCCTCCGGCAGGGGAGGAGAGTGCCCAGGAATTCGCTCTTGAATTCCGTAACTCTCTACGG